ATGTAACAGAGCAAAGACATCTTCTGTTATATGAAGACAGAAAACATCACTAGTTATGTGCATGATCAAAAAGGCACCAAGTTCATCAACAGACACAAACACCCAAACTTTGACAGGGACAGTAGCAATCAATCACAGTGTGTGGCAGACCAGGAAACTCACCCTGGACTAGGCCAATGAATCAAAGTATTGCTGAAACTGAAAATACTAATGCAACTGTCAAGGATTTAAAGAAATTAAATTCAGTAGTATTAAAGCAATAAAACTCTACCAACATCGTGGTTCTGAGGCAAAGAGATGTCTTAATAACCTAAAAATAGAATTGGCACTGTCTTCTCTGCCCTGAATCATAAATAAAAGTCCTATCATGGTTAATTCAGCCTTTCAGGTTTCCCAGACAGACGCTGTTCTTTATGGACAGTAAAAATTTCTCTGCAATTTTTGTAAGTGCATATTCTGATACCCATTACCGGTCAATTTTTTTTTCTTCACAATGGTGTACTGTGTTAGAAGATTGCCATTTCCTCCTTAAAGGTAACTGGACACATATGGACCTTCTACAGCTATTAGCTAGGTAATTATTTAAATAAAAATCCTTCCAGTAAAGGAATTATTTAAGCAATAATATAAGTAAAATTCATTTTCGACTTGATATTTGCCTAAAAACCCTGAAAGCACTTCAAGATCATTCTTGACCATATGCATGTGAAAACACATACATAAATAAATGCTGCAGGTGTGTGATTTGTCCTATCCATGCATTAAAATAATGCACTGATTAGCACTGTTACAACTACTAAAGTTGTCATTGGAATGATGAAGTTTTAGAAAACTGTGTTCCAATGTCTTCTACGGCATCTAAAGAATCTAATAGTCTCTTTGTAACTAAATTCATGCCAGATGGATGTGAAGGAAAATACTACTACAAGACCACTATGGACTAGTCCTGTTAATACAAGAATACACACCTACACACACGGATAGGTCCATACAGAGGGGAAGTTCTATCTTCCAACAGAACTGAGACAAAAGTTTACACGCTGGTAGGATTATATGGAGACAAAGCTAGCTACAACCCGTGTGATTTTCTTACTCTTCTGATATTCTTCTCCCTCTTATTATTCATATAATCATTATTATTACTATTAGTATGTCCACGTGAGAGAGGTTCACAACAATGACTGCTTGTGTTGCTTTCTCATGAGAAGCTTGAGTTCAAATCTTGCACCCAAGCAGGAGCCTGAAGGAAAGAGAACAAAGTTTCTCAAACCACTCTCCTATCTGCATTTTGCTTATAGCTAATAACAGGCTCTATCCTGCCATGTTTGCATTCACCTGTGTCTGACACCTAGAATTAAAGGGCCCCATTTTTGGCTGCCTGGTAAGACAGTATCATAAAAAATATTAAGACCTTACTAATTAACCTATAAGGAAAGTTCATCTTCTTAGTTACAGATTAACTTCTTAAACAATAAGACCTCTCATTTAAAACAAACTATGCTTTCATTTTAAATTAATTTACACTAGGGACTGATTTCCCTTTTCTCTTAGGCTGGGAATGCAACTATTTTCCAATGACGACATAGGCTATATCCCTTGGTTATTGATAATCCTCCAACAATGACTCCAGAGTGTCAGCCAGAAGTCCTACTGATGTATCCTAAAGCACACAGCACCGATATTTCATGTGGCATTAAAATGCAGCTGGTAACACCTAGGCTAATTTTCACCTCTGGTAAAAATGTCACAAGCTTGAGTGACACAGACAAATGGCTCTAAATTAATAATTTCATTATAGATAGCAAAATACAACAATTGAAGCTTCATGCTTAGCTCTTTCATGCTTCTCAGCCACTAGTGTGCAAATACAAATCTATTTACCTCCTAATTCAAGAGGAGCACCCCCCCCATTCTTTGGGAATCACTTCAGGGACCTCTTTTTCCTCCAAACACTTACCAGGATAGGGATTTCCTGACTAGAATGGTACAAACAGTTTGTCGTGTTAATCTGTCAGCATCCATCTGTGGTTTGAATTTTTATTGAAAAAAATAGAGCATTCTATAGACTCAAAAGTTCTCTTCCAGTGGGTCAAGATAGACTTGTGATTTTACACAGTGGCTACTTCCTTAATTTAAATACATTTTCTTATTTGAAGACAAAAACCACACTGAAATACTTCTGCCATAGCAATGCCTGGCTTTGTAACTTCAGAGACCACTGTAAAAATCAGGCAGTCCTGCAAAAATGTAGCAGTGTGCTTAAATGTTACCTCAGAAAAGAAAGAGCAAGCTTTTTCTCTGTAACCTGTAGCCCTGTTTTCCTTTCCTCCATTGTGGTCCTGCACTGGCATTCCACTTCTTCAACTGGAATTTGAAGCCTGTCTATTGCTAACTATTATATCATCAACATTCTTCACAGATTACAAGTTAGGAACCCAAACTTTGTTGTCTTTTCAGTTTTTTTGGTTTTGGTTTGTTTGTTTGTTTGTTTGTTTGTTTTCTTCAGGTGTAAATGAGTGCAAATTCCTGGAGTGATATGGTTTAGGCTGGACAGTGATATGAAGTAGACAGTGGAAGCACTACATAAAATTTCCTTTTCAGATTTTCTTATTCTTTTTTCAGATTTTCTTATTCTTGCAATGTCATTGTTCAGTTCGCTGGGTCTACAGGAAATTTAAAGCAGCTGCTTTAACTTCTGAGCCTTTAGTCTTTACTGAAGTCAGAATAATGGTACTTTAAAGATATGTTTAAACATGTATTCTTATCACATGTCTTTTGGAAAAGTTGTAAGATTTATGAAATATTGCTGAACACTCATTTTTCTCCATAGGCTCATCTGTCCAAAGTCTGAGCAGGCTATTTAAAATTTCAATCACTTCTAACAGAATGGTAGTTGCTGCACCACTGTGATAGAAACATCTGGATTTTATTCCAGAAGCATTCTACAGTTCTGGCTGCTAAACCACTTTTTCTCACCGAAAACTAGTCTGTGAGGATTTAATTTTATTCACCTGAAAATTCCATTTGTCTGACCTTTTCACTGAAATGCACATGCAGCATCCTTCAAACTGAGGGGAGCTGATATTAAAATAAATCACAGAAAGGAGCAAGTACATCACTGTCACATTAGCAGATGCTTTGAGACCTGTTCAGAACTATTATCTTTCAAAGGAAAAAATAGAAAATGCAGACAAAATCAAAGCCAAACATAAAGAGTTATACCCTCTGAATAAATTAAGAGCATATAAATGCATGTTCTGAAGTAGTCTCCTGCTCTTTTACAGAAGAAACTCACACAGTATGTCATGCTTGTAATTACAGTGATTTGATACAGTCATTAGCCCCACAAAGAGATGAAACTGGTGCCAAACAAGAAATGTAAAGCACGTCTCACATTTCACACAGGAAGAACAACATTAACATATGTATATATATGTATGTGTGTTTGTGTGTGTATCTATTACAGATAAATACAGATAACAATTTGGTATATATTATATATTTATTTATACTATTATTTTATTGTGTATTTTTATATATTTAGCTGTATGTTAATATATATTATTATACACATTATATAATAAGATCTTATATAACACAGATTATATAGTATAATAATCACAGGATCACAGAATAGTTAGAGTTGGAAGGGACCTCTGAAAATTATTCTGTCCAAGCCCCTGCCAAGGCAGATTCACCTAGAGAAGGTGACACAGGAACTTGCTCAAGTGGGTTTTGAAAGTCCCCAGAGAGGGAGACTCCACGAACTCCCTGGGCAGCCCCTTCCAGTGCTCTGCTACCCTCAAAGGAAAGAAGTTCTTCCTCATGTTGAGGTGGAAGTTCCTGTGTTTAAGTTCATGGCTGTTTGTCCTTGTCCTGTCTCCGGGCACCACTGAAAAGAGTTTGGCAGCATCCTCTTGACACCTGCCTTTGATACAGATACTGTAGGTGTTGTTCTGGCCCAGGTCCCACAGTCTCTCCTCACAAGAGAGATGCTCCAGACCCCTCATCATCTTTGTAGCCTCTACTGGATCCTCTCTAGCTGGCCACACTCTTCTCAATGCACCCCGGATACCATCGGCCCTCCCGGCCACAAGGGCACACTGCCAGCTCACAGTCAGCTTGTCACCCACCAACATCCCAGGGCCTTCTCAGCAGAGCTGCTCTCAACTGGCTCAGCCCCCAACCTCTACTGGTACTTGGGGTTATTCCTCCCCAAGTGCACGACCCTACACTTGTCTTGGTTGAACCTCATCAAGGTTTTTCTCTGCCCAACTCTCCAGCCTATCGAGGTCCCCCCCAAAAGGGAGCACAGCCTTCAGGTGTATCAGCCAATCCCCCCAGTTTTGTATCATCAGCAAACTTGCTCAGGGTACATTCTGTCCCTTCGTCCAGGTCCTTGATGAACAAGCTGGACAAGGCTGGACCCAGGATTGATCCCTGGGGAACACCACTGACTGCAGGCCTCCAGCTGGATTCTACTCCGCTGATCACGGCCCTCTGAGCTCTGCCATTCAACCAGTTCTTGATCCACCTCACTGTCCATTCATCTAAAATCAAAATTCACCCTGAGCTGACCCTTCAGGATGTTACGGGAAACTGCGTCCAAAGCCTTGCTGAAGTCGAGGTAGACAACATCCAGTGCTCTCCCTTTGCCAACCTGTATGTATGTGCATATATAATACGTAAAGATAGTATGTGTGTGTGTGTGTGTGTGTATTTATATATGTAAATATATACTTTTTTCTGTAGATATGAATACATAACACATATATACTCCATCTCCAGGGGACCCTCGGCGCACAGAAAGATACGCCCTCGCCGTGCGGCGCTTTTAGCGTGTCCTCAGTCACCTTCAGGGATGGGGGGAGGAGGGGGGACAGGGAGAGGGCATTTTCCTACTGAAAACACGGCTGTTTTGGCGGCCCCGCAGAGCGCAGCGCAGCCCCGACCCCCTGGGGGCCGGCTCGGCCCCGCCCTTCCGGCCGGGCCGCGTCACTTCCGGCAGGGCCGGGCGGGCGGGGGCCATGGCGGCGCTGGGGGAGCCGGTGCGGCTGGAGCGAGGTGAGCCCTGTCCCTGTCCCTATCCCAGCCCGTGCCCCTATCCCAGCCCCTGCCCTTGTCTCAGCCCCTGCCCGGCCCGGCGCCGGGCGGTCTGTCCCTGAGCCCCTGGGCCGGCCCGCGGCGGGAGCGGCGGCGATGGCCGAGCTCCCCCCGCGCAGGAGCCGAGCCGCTCCTCTCTCCTCCGCTGCTCTCCTCTCCTCGCTGATTTGAACACGCTTCCCTTCCCTCCTGGCTCTTTCAGCGTGCCGCTGGGACTGGCCTCTTCGGGGCTTGCTTGGCTTTCTGCAGCCCCCGGAGGGTTTTTCCTCGCGTTTCAGGTCGCGGCTGGGTTTCCAGGGGTGGCACTCGTCCCGGGCCTTCTGCAGCTGAATGTGCTGAGCTTCGCTGGTGCCGGCGCCTCGGCCAGCTCTTACTCAACCTGCCGTCTATTTGTTTCTTTTTCTCTCGTGGGAAAACTTCATCCTGCGCGCAGCAGAATTATTAGCTCTAAGTTCAAGGTGTTGGCTGTGTGCTGGTGTACTCTTTTTTTTACTACTTTACTTTGTTTTGATGGAAGACAACTGACACGTGCAAGGGCCCCTCTGCACTTGTTCCTGATTCTGCTCAACTCCATTGCGCTCTCACGTTTATGTTTCCGTCCCGTTTTTTCCAGTATACAATGATAATTTGTGTTGTTAACGCATGCGGTGTGTAACTGGAATTATGAGCAAAATCGATAAAATATATAACCTGGGTGGGTATTTTTCTGTAGCGTGTTTGTGATGTTAACCCAGGGCTTTTAAGAAACGATGATAAATTACCTTCGGTGTGATTCTTCAGTCCACAGTAGCTCAGTGAACACATGCTTCTATAACAATATACGTGATGGATTTACTGGTGTGTATTTAGGACAGATAGGGATTGGAAAATGGAATTTAAATGGGGAAATATTGCTGATAATTAGAAATCGTGTTTTTGCGAAGGAAAATAAGTAGATGGAGTGTAGGTGATTGAATGGAGTGACTGTTTTCCCACTGCCACTCCTACTGCGACCACCACCTTTGCTCGTGGAGGTAGATGGTTTTTTGTAGGCATGTAACATGCCCCACTTTGTTTTGTTTGGTACTATCACGTTTACCAGAGAGCTCAGTTTTCCTGTTTTTGCTAACCCTGCTTCCCATTCCACAAGTGAACTACTTGTAGTGCGTTGGAGTTGGTCTGTAAATAGTGACTTATGTAAGGTCTTTGCTTCCCACTGTGCAGCTCATCTACCCTCTCTACTCCAAAGCTTGTTAATTAGGGCAGCTGCTTTGGCAGTGGATTAGTTGATCTTGAAAGGTCTGCGGAGTTAAACCTCAGGCCCCATCCTTCTTCACCTCATTACCCTGCCACTATGCTCTGTCCGTGAAAACAAACAAATCTGCAGAGTTACTTAGGGATCAGTGGAACAAAGGAGCTATTTGGTCTTCTGACATATTGATCTTTTATAAGACAAGAAGAAAAAGGGAGAACCTTATAATGGACGTACAAGAGCAAGAGCTTTATTTACAGAAATAAGTAACTCTGTTACTTGTGTGGTTTGACTGCAGATAACCTGAGGATGAATCATCATCAGCTCGAGAGTGAACATCACTATTGTTGTTGGCAAAGAGCATAAGAGAAGAGAGAGTAGTGTAGAAAATGAGCTGATTTAAAATTGTTACCATATGCTTACCAGGGCAATTGAAACTTCTTCTGTCTGTTTTCTCCTCCAAGCTGTGTTGCAAACACCGCCACCCAAATTCACTAGAGGGTCGGAATGAAACAACAGTTAACATTTGCAAGTTATTCTTATGGTTTGGTGGTGACATGTGGTAACTCTGCATACAGCTTAGGAATCCAGACTATAAGCAGTGGAGGTGGTTAATCAGGAGTATCTGTGAGGATGCTGCATTTTTCCTCTTTCAGTGTTTTGTTCACACATGTGCTTGGAGGGGTGACTTCTTGCTGGCTTTTTTTCCCCCCACGTTCTTTTAGTTTAAATGTGTATTTTTTCAGGATTCCGATTTAATATGCCATGATCACAAAAAGTGATTTGTGAAGAACAGACAACTGGTATAAAAAGGATGAAAAGGTTAAGAGAAAATTGATTTTTTAGTTATGTGTGGATTACATTTTATAGTTTGTTTGGTTTGTTTTTTTTATTTTTTTTCCCTACCTCTGGAGTTATTTCTACATTGATTCTTGTTGAAATCCAAACACTTCTGTGCTGTTCATTTTGGTCTCTGGTGCTGAGCAGTTGGCTAAGCTGTAGTGTTAATATTGTGAGGAAGACACCTTTCAGCTGGTCACATCCAGAGCAGTAATTCAGGAGGAAGCAAATTACATCAGCACAGCAGTCAGCAATCTTTTCTTGCCAAGTGTGTGTTTTGCCACTTTTTCCCAGCCAAACTAGTTCTTTCCCAAAGTGGTATTGTTGGGATGGATTGAACCCCTAGTTTTTGACTAGCAGTGCCTCATGCAGTTCAGCAGAAGAAAGTTATGCTCAGTTGCACTTTCAGGCTGATATAATGGGATCCTCTCAGGAAGGCAAAGCAAAACAAAGTTGGGAACAAAGTGTCCTGCTAATGGGATCCATTGTCTGTATCTACCTGAGCAAGAAGTGTGGTGCCATAAAACATTTACTGAGTGCTGAGGATCCAACTTTCATGCTGTGTTTTACTGCTCTGAGTTTTTACTTTATAGCAACAATTTGGCCCTTTGATCTGAAAGGCCCTTTTTTATTAAAGTGTATCTGCTGCTTTATTTTCATTTAAAAGGAACCCACTGTATCCTAATCACTTTTTGAAAAGCTGATTCTGTGTTCTTAGTCTGCGCTTTTTGAAAGACACGGCTTAGTTCCCAAAACAAACCAGTTTTACCTTAGGGTAATAATATGCTGTGTCATTAAATGTTTTGCCTGTTAGGAGATAAAGGTAGGAAATATATGTCATTTACTGGCAAAATATGCAGGTCAAAAAACCAGAAATTATCCCATGGAGTTCTGGAGTCTTCATTTCTACAGCTACCCTTTGGATCAGTAGATTGCTGTCACGGTTTAAAATTTCTTGCAGTATCCTAAACAAACTGATAACAAGTTCACACACCTTGCAGCTTAACGTGGGTCGTGGACCTGAGGCTCAAGAATGTCTGTGTAGAGCTGTACTCTTTATGTGCATGAAATAATCATTCGTCTGCAAACATCTGCATGTATTTAAATGATAGATGTGTTGTAATTTATGTACTTGCTAGACTTTCTGCATGAATATATGGAGTGCTGTGAGATGGAAGTGCTGCTATTGCCATTTGATCATTCTACTTCAGGCTGTTCAGTGGGAGACTTCATGAAATTAGGATAATTTGTACTGCTGTTGCCGAACACAAGGATTGCTGAGAATGTTAGTTTTCATCATCTAGAATGTCTTTAATTTCACCAACTATTTTGGATTTAAAATGAAGTACAAAATACGTGTTAGGAAATTAAAAGCTTTAGAAGCATTTATTTTCATTTTGTAATTGTATAAATTGCAAAGATGCATGTCTGTGTGAAATATGCATGTTCTCTGTAGAACATGGGATTAGTAATTTAGCTTTTGATATTGCTTTGCTTTAGATAACTGCTGCTTGTAAAGCTTGAAAACACTTGCCAGAAAACACCAAGTTCTCATGGCACATAGCAACCTGAACTCTCGTCTGAAATAATTTGGGTCTTGTGGCTGTGGTGATGATACTTGAGTGTTTTTCCATGAAGGGAAAAAGTTTCCATTCCATGGATGACCAGTCTGTGAGGTTAAATTATACCTTGTTGAATCAACTGCAATGCCTGATCTTGGTGTAGTAGTCTGTAAGGTGTGTGTGATAATTCATGTAAGTGGACAGAACATCACTGTGGGCTATGTCTTGCCAGTGTACTTCACCCTGATTTCAGAACATGCACCCCACTGCCTTTTCAGCATGTTATGTAAGTTCTCTCTTTTTACACTTGTTTTTTGGGAGAAGTTCGTGGCTATTGCACGTCTTCTGTGCTGATGTGATGCCACTGAGTAGACATGCATTCACATGAAAAATGGGTGCCTAAAGGTTAATTACAGAAAAGAAGAAAGTAATGCATTTGGGACTAGCTGTGTCCCAGACTTCATCCTTTTCTAAAATAATCTGTGCATTATTTATATAGCAGATTATTCACTGCTTCTTGACCTTTGTGATAATGAAGGTAATCCTTTCCATCTGCTTTTCTGAGAGACTGTTCTACTTCTGTTCGAGAACTTGTGTGTTTCAGAATCATCACTAATGTAGCACTCTGGAAATACAAGTGAGGGATGTGAATGTATTCAACTATTGTAGAGCTGCCAAGACAATGTCACATTGCATTTGATGCCTGTCTTGAGTCATACTGGTGTGGAATGAAACCCTTCGTGGAGTTCAGTTTCACAAAGCAGCGTTTATGAGAATGTGGACAACATGAACTCTTAGGAACAAATTTCAAGGAACTGAAACAAAGAGGTTTGGGCTTCGGGATTCTAGACTACAGAGATATTGTCTCTCAGCTGAGGATATCAAAAGGAGTTTTGTTGTTTTTATAAGCGCTTCAGGGGGAAAAAGAATAGGCCAGATAGTTCTTAGCCCTCTAGTAGGGAAAGTACTGAGTTCAACTAATTTTTGAATGTAAAAGGAATGTTAGACAGAATATTTGACAATATTGTAGCTGGTGTTAACAAAATGCTGTCGGTGGAGTAGATGAAACACACTACCAATATATCATATGCATGTATCAGTGAAATATTTCAGTCCAATTCAAACTTTGAGGGAAAATCAGATTTTCTTTGTAATATGCATGTGGCAGTGACAACTCCAGATATGCTACAGGACTGGGTTGCTGTGGTTGACTTATAAACAGTCTGAAAGTACAGTGTTTTTTGTAGCATTTTGTAAATACATGGTTTTATGGGCAATGAAACTAATGGGTGGTTTTAAAATGTATACAAGTGCACACAGACAGACTGCTGCATTAACTTAATTAAAAAAAAAAACACAAACGTACCTTGAATTTCCTCAGGCATTCCTCTTTACTATTGTTTTTTTTTTTCCCCAAGACATCTGCAGAGCAATTGAATTGCTGGAAAAATTACAGAGAAGTGGAGAAGTGCCACCACAAAAGCTACAGGCATTGCAAAGGGTCCTTCAAAGTGAGTTCTGCAATGCTGTAAGAGAGGTAAGTTAGCATAAGCAGTTATCTTCAGTTTAAGACCAGTATGATTTCCTTTTTCCTTTTTGTGCTCAGAGCAGTAAACTGATTTTGTACTTTGTAAAAGCTGAATTTGATTTACAGAGCTTAATAGAACAAGATTTATTTTTAAATAAGTTCAAAAGGAAATAATTTGGGACGGCATAGCTGTACAAAATAATGGCTCAGGAGCAAATCACTTATTAAAGGTTATTTTGAAAGTCTGTCCTTAGTGGCAGCTAACAGGCTGTTATCCTGTTGGAATGTAAGAATAGTCAAGGTACCAATTGCCTATTTTACTTTTAAGGCAAATCCACGTCACCTTTAGGTGGAGCCTTGGGCCACCTCATCTTCATTCCAGGTGCTCTTTTGGAGATTTTTAGGTGTTGGAATATGCCTTGCTGTTGGTGATGATAACACCTGGAATGATTTTAAAAAATCTGTTTGTAGACACAGATGCATCTGAGTGTTTTCATCCTATGGAGGATATTGTGTTCCTTGCTTGGCAAGTCCAAGTGGTTGGCAGGCAGATGTGAGGATGTGGGTTAGCCTTCAGTGCAAGGACTCCTTGGCATTAGTATTCTCATTGCCTCTGTGTTTTCGGTTCTGTCTGTTCCTGCAGTTATTCAATTATTTGCCACTGAAACTGTTTTGTCTCTAAAGGTGTATGAACACGTATATGAAACTGTGGATATCAGCAGTAGCCCAGAAGTTAGAGCTAATGCAACAGCAAAGGTAAAAGCCAAATATAACTTGCATAAAATTCATTACTTTGGAAGCAGAAGAAGATTATATAAAATTCTGAAGGATATTATCTAGATGTCTGATAAAATGGATAAGCTTAACGGGTTATTAAAAGGGTATAAAAAGATTTGTTATTTTTAAATCTCTTCTATTTTAATTTTATTCTTGGAGTTCTGAATTTTTCATGCTAGTGTTAGTATGTAGAGAATTAATCTCATTTGTCTTAACACTTAAGTACTTTGAGATAAAATACATTTTCAGCCTGCTCACTGTGTCTAGCTAAAGGGACTGTTTGTGTCTCACAGGCCACGGTAGCTGCTTTTGCTGCAAGTGAAGGTCATTCCCATCCCAGAGTGGTTGAGCTACCCAAAACCGAAGAAGGTCTTGGATTCAACATCATGGGAGGCAAAGAACAAAATTCTCCAATCTATATTTCTCGAATTATCCCTGGAGGTATAGCTGACAGACACGGAGGCCTGAAACGTGGAGACCAGCTGCTTTCTGTGAACGGAGTGGTAGGAGCTGCTTTTCTCTTTACGTAGCAGTAACTACTTGTTTCCACTTGAGGGCACACAGAGAATACACATGGCACAAGCTCACGTCTTTTGACATTGGCAGAATGGTTTCTTTCTGTCCTCACAAAAACAACTTGCTTAGGTTTCTATAGAGTTGTGTGCACTGAGAGTTTTAGGCTTATGCTTTAGTTATCTGTCTCAGCTAGGGACCTGTACGATGTATTTCAGCGCTTCAGAATCTGAGGGGTTTGTTATAAAGGTAGTTGGAAGTATTTAGTGAAATACGAACTGCCATTATGCCTTCCTCTTTCATCCAAGTTTCATAATGCAGATTCTTATTAATATAGTTTTCTGCACCTTCTAAGGTAAGTAGTAAATTATGCTATGTTGCATTAGACTGACCAGATTGTTATTTTTCCCAGTAAAAATGCTACTGCATGACAAAAGCTGTAATGAGATGGAACTACAAGGTGATGTTACCTTAAGTTGTGTGGTATTTTTTTTCCTTCCACTTAAGTGTACTGAGCTTCAAAAGCAGGCTTTTTACTGTTTTTTAAGGAATATAGGATTTTTTTATGTGTGTCCTTTTCTGAAGAGTTACAAAAAGTGAAACAGGGAGGCTGGAAAGAGGAGATTATGGACAGGCTTTGCCTTGAGGCAGCTTTCAGTCAAATGCAAGGAAATACCTCTCAAACACTTGCTTTTGTTTACAGAGAGGGTCTCTGCTGGCCTAAAATTAATGTTCTCATCATTACATCTGTGAACCAAATTTTATTTTAAAACTGAGGGTCATACTGAATCCTGGGGGTGTTTGGCACATGAAAGGAATAGTGACTTACTAGGCATCTTTTCTCTGGGAACTCCTGGCTAGCACAGATCCCCAGCATACTTGGCTCCTGACTATTACCTGGGAGTCCAGCTGGCCTTTTCGAGAGGCATAAGAGAAATCACAGCTGTAGTGGTGCGGCTGTCCTTGGCTTAACCTTCCTGTTATTTGGAAACATATTTGGAGGGGCTGGTGCAAAACTGTCTTCAGATGAGTCCTTCCTCACCCACGGACCCTCTTAAAGACAACAGAACCACCACTCCCCCCAAAGCTGAACCTGATCATCACAGCTTACAGTGACTGTGTTTGTGTGCATGCAGATGTATAAGTGTGTACGTTGTAAGAATACAGTGTGTGCATAAATTACTGTTGAGAATGCCAAGCTAGTCTCAGAAGAATCACTGTCATCTGACGTTTACAGATGGAATCCTGTCGTCGTAATACACGGACAGGCATTTTCTTGTGATTGTAATTTCTACTTTGATAAAAGTGATAAAGAAAATGCCACTGCCAAGACTGCAGGGAATGTGCCTGAAGACAAGTTTTATTTTTTTCAGGTGGGAGGTCTTGGGTGTACTGCAGAATTTTAGGTGTTTTGGTATAATTAAACACAGAACTTTACCATCCTTTTATTACCGGTTTTAAACACAACAGCCTACACATCCACTTGAATAACAAAAGTGAAAACATTCAAATGTATGTGTTGTCTAAGTCTGATAGAAGAGAAATAACTTGGTGGTTTTTTTAACTTTTGTCTTTCTTTCTGTGAGTAACTTTATAGTAACGGGGAAACCCTCCAATCAACAGGTACATCACCTGCCTTCTAGCTTCTAGTAGCACCATTAGGAGGTAGGCTTGGGGTAGTCCTGTCGTTGTGTTTAATAGGTTTGGGAGAAATAAACTTTACTGATAAAATATGTGCTGTCCAGGAATGTATGTTTGGATGCAGTTTTTGCGAACCGTTGCTTAAAAATTTTAGTTAGATTAATGTAATCTAATTCTGAGAGTTGTTTTAGGGAAAGTATTTTTATTCTGTCCTTCCTGAGTTGGGTTAGGCTGTTCTTAATCAGTTTAGAGGAAACTAACTTGAATATCTTGTGTTTACTGAGAGAGGTGTGGCGCACTAGGATAAGCACCACACTGCAGGGTGGCTGCCCCACTTCAGGCACCCAGTGTTCTGTCTTGTCATAACGCAGGGTAACATCAAGAAGGCAGCATCATCTTGCAGTAGTCTGTGGCAGCTTACTAAGCAAATGGAGGGTGGCTACTGAATTTAAAAATGCATGCCAAAAGAAGAAAAACAATACTGAATTTTAAGTAAGCGTTCTCCTGAAGTTGTTGATTTTTAAGTGTAATTTCATAATTGACTAACGTTATCCTTGAAGAATTTAATTGTTCAGCACAAGATTTTTGTGCTATTTTGTTAATGCTAGTGAGTATATTTATCATCATCTCGTTGGTTTGCTGAAGCATAAATCCTGAACGTGTGTGACGTGGTCCTTGTGCAGTCTTGAAACTAGAATACGTGTAAATAATTATAAATAATTTGCTTATATAGAAGTTGTACAAAAAAGAAAAAAAAACGTTTTCAGAGTGTGTCTTTACCATTAACTATACTTAATGGTTTATGCTTTACAGAGTGTTGAAGGTGAACACCATGAAAAGGCTGTAGAACTGCTCAAGGCAGCCCAAGGAAAGGTTAAATTAGTTGTACGATACACGCCAAAAGTCCTGGAAGAAATGGAGTCAAGATTTGAAAAAATGAGATCGGCAAAACGCAGGCAGCAAAACTAACGTTGTATGCAATAACTTAAAGAGAAAATATATTCCTTTTACATATTATAGTTTCTTTTTGACTCAGTTGATCCAATGCCCGGGCTACAAAAACCCCGTCCTTTTCATAGAATCACGGAACGATTGAGGTTGGAGGGACTCCTGGAGATCCAGTCCACCACGCCCTCAGCTCAGAGGAGGGCCAGCTAGAGCAGGTTGCTCAGGACTGTGACATGCTGGGTTTTTAAGCATCTCCAAGGATGGAGGCTCCAGAAGATCTCTGGGCAGCCTGTTCTAGTGCTTTGCTCTCCCTTACACCATGAAAGTCCATTTTTAGTTTAAATAGAGCTTCCAGTATTTCCACTTCTGCCCATTGCCTCTTGTCCAGTCACTGGATTCTACTGAGAAGAGTTTGGCTCTTTATTTACTCCTCCCTTTCAGGCATTTACACAGGTTGGTAAGATCACCCCTGAGCCTTCTCTTCTCCGGGCGAGACAATCCCAGTTCTCTCAACTTCTCCTTGTCTGTAAGATGCTCCGATCACTTAATCACCTTTGTGGCCCTTCACGGAACTCGCTCTCGTACACCCATTTCTGTAATGAACTGGGTAGCCCAAAACTGGACCCAGCACTTGTGTCTCACCAAGACTGAGCAGAGAGGGAGAATCCCCCTCCCTCAGCCTGCTGGCAGTGCTTTTCCCAGTGCAGACCAGGAGACTGCCGGGCTGCTTTGCTGCAAGGGCGCTTGGTGGCTCACGGCTTACTTGCTGCTCTGCCAGGCTGCTTTGCAGCTGGTCAGTCCCCCAGTCTGTGCTGGTGCGTGGGGTTATTTCCCCCACGCTGGGTGTAGGACTTTGCACTTTGCTGAACTTTATGGGGTTCTTGTTTGCCCTTTTCTCCAGCCTGCTGAGGTCCCTTCGAATGGCTCGCTGAGAGCGTGATCTGTCCCGTCACCCGGGTTGTTAATGAGAACAGACAACAGTTTGGACCCCAGTACAGGCCCTGGGGTGCATCAGTAGTGACTGGCATCTGGCAGGACACTGTGCCACTGATCACAAACCCTCAGCAGTTTCAGAATGTTTTCAGTCTCCACGTGTTTCACAGCTTAAGAGGAATGTGTACTTTTAAAATGGCCTAAAATACCCTGAAGAAACATATACGGTGATATTTCTGTTGATTTTTATTTTTTTTTTAATAAGTCTCACGTCAGACCTTTAAGCAAGAAAACGAATTTACAGATTTTTCAAAGGCATTTAATAAGACATACTGGTACAATCGGCATCCCTTTTTTCCTGTTCTCTTTTGGCATTACTTAACATAGAATCTGCAGGGGTTTTTGCTGAATGACTTTTGGAAAAAAATTCTTATGTAGCAGTATTTTGGCACTTTTCTTAAGAATATGTTGTATATCGACTATAAAACCTAATCACAATCTACTGTGTAGCTGATAATGATACCAGATTTTGTAATGTTTTGGTGAATACGTTGTTTTTACACTTCTGCTAAATTGTAATTCATTATTCTGGAAATTGTATTACCTCTCCTGTAAATAATTTACAGTTCATGTTCTCATATAATGATTTTGTAATAGCCAACATTTACAAATTTGCAACAATCATTCCTGTAACTTATATTATTTTGTACTAATTTTAAAGCAGTTAAGGGGAAAAATATGGCTGTTGTATGCAGTTCTGGATTGACTCTCTAGATGTATTTTTATATTGAGAAACAGAAGGTATATTAATGCAGTGCAAAAGAATTCCAGATGTTTCCCTGACTTTCTGCTGTTTAAAAGAATTATTCATCTTTACTGTCATACCTCTCTTATCTTTTTCATATCTTCTATTGTAGTCTTATCTACACGCTGAATGTGTTGGTCCTGCAGTAGTTAGTACCTAAATTACTGATTGTTATAAGAGTAAAATGTTCTGAGTCTTAAATGCCAGGTTACTGTGACATGTGAACTTGTCTGGGGTTTTATTACTGACTGCTTCTGACTTGGAGGATTCTTGTTTGTGCTACAGAAGTCCTACATCACCACTGCTAAGTAAGGACATCTCCATCTGTAAGCAGTTGATGTCTTATCTCATGCATGCTTGGTGATGGCATGGGTTTAGTGTGCCCTCTTGGAGAAGATTTCTGGACAGAGATTCACTTTTTGGAATCTACCAGGTTTGATGCTGTACTTGTGTAGTTTAGGTTTGGGGTTTGGATTTGTTTTGGTTTGGTTTTTTTTCGAGCTTCACCTTTTGGTATATATCTAGGATTAACTTCATTGTCTACTGGGTGTCTGTTCACTTGTATGGCAGATCTGAGTCCTTCCTGTTAGTAATTTCATTTTTAGAGGCTTAAACTGAAAAGTGCAGTTCTTGCTGTGTGGCTAATCCCTAGTCTGATTTCACATGGGGCAGTATGTGAAAGGAAAAAGGAAACAGCTAGTGATCTGAAAATGGCAGCATGAAGCTTGTGCTTTGTCAGGTGAGCTATTCGAAAATAAAAAAAAAAAAATGTGATTGCTACGGGCAAGTGAGAAATGTGTTTGCCTCCTGCATGTTTGTAAGCATGGTAAGCCTGCAAAAAGAAATTTCGAAGATACTGGTAATTTGAAAATTCAGTATAAGTATTTATCAGCTAGATGACATTGAGCACTGAATTGCATGGTTCGTTATGTGTCATAGGCCTCTTTCAAAAGGCCTCATGTTACTGATACAACCATGATGTTGAATTGTATATTTTTATGGGACAACTGATGTTTAAAGTATTGAGACCAAAATCATTAGTTAGATCGATTGTGGATGTGTTTTAATTTAATTGTAAATTAGTAGAGGTTTGTTTTAGAGCCATATATAAATATATATATATAATATAGAAAGGTATGGATACAAGATAGAAATGTGCGTTTTACAACCTGTATCCCTTGTGTTACTGAACAAAGAGGTGTGTTTTGTTACTCTAATGAAATACTTACTCTAGTGCAGCTAGAGCTGTTAAATGCAGTAGCATTTTCATTCTGAATTGTGAATTGAATCCAAATGTGTAGCATTTGGATACAGTTTGTCAACTACTACAAAATGTGGGGAGGTGTATCTGGGCATATAAATAGTACATGTAGAATTTGATAAAATGTTTTTTAAATTGCAATAACGAAAAAATGAATAACAGACAACTAGTTGTCATCTTTTAATACTATGAAAACCCTTTAGTAATAAGGAAAGGGTGGATTAAAATACGCCAAGAAACTTGATCTCTGTTACTACTGAGCAGTGCCTGTACTGTGTTAATATGCAGTCCCTACACACTTGGCATACTTGGGTGTGCAAACAGATTAAGAAGAGGTATCATTTCTGGAAGTAACTTCTGCATCTGTTGCTGCTGTGAGGGATCTTTGGTTTTATCAACAGAAAAATAAAAGTTAAATCTCACACGCGTTGTGATTGTGTGTTTTTCTTCCAACTTTCCTGTTCTGAGTACAGGTTTCAGACTGCTGTAACCTCCAGGGCATAACATGAGCACCCTGCATGGGTGTGGGTGTCCAAAGAGAAACTTTAAATCTGTGGTAGTTTGTTCTCCTGATTGTTTATGGATCTTCCGTTTCCTACCCCGGCGTTTTCTGATTTGCTGGAGAAAATCAGAATGCTCTGAAGTGTGTATAGTAACTTGGACTTCCTGCTTTTTTGAGACCTCCTTAGTCTCAGCTACATAAACTCGTTATTCTCAGTCAGATATTATCTTTTAATTGTTCGAAGCAAGTATCTCAAGTAATGAGATGCTGAATTTCTGTAAGTCCTTGTTTAAAGAACTTGTAAGATCATTAGAAAAATTTGCCTGGAGTTAAGAGTTGAGATAAAAGGTAGGAGAAAATGCTTCAGTTCTAAATGTTAAATAATGGGGGGAGTGGGTTTTTTGTTGTTGTTGTGAGGGGTTTTTTTGATTGTTTTTGGTTTTCTTAATGTAAGTAGGCTGGACTGTGAATTGGAAATATATGCAGAAATATTTATGTGAATATCTGATGTAGAGGATTAATAATACTTGAAATAAAAAAACACACATTTTCGGTTTTATTTTAAAATCAGACAGTTTCCATGACCGGGCTTGTGCCATTGATGTAAGCCAAAAAGCAAAGTGCATTGTCAAAGGAGTTGCAATGGTGCAAGGAAAGAGTGAGACTGTAGTTGGTAGATAAACATTGGAATTAAAGGGAATTCCAAGGTATAGAGTAGTATGGGTTTCTGTGATTCTTTGTCTTCTAAAAGCCTGATGAGAAGTTGGTTTCAGAGCAGAGTCTGGGTTGCAGTGCTCACTTTTACAGGGAAGTTGTCCTTTTCTTGGAGAGTCTTCAGAGGGCACACTCAACACAAGACATCTGAAATTCAGAAGTGTGCCTCAGGATAAAATTGGCAGCTAGTTCTAGTGATAAAAAAACCAAGAAAACTGCAACAAAAGTTCTAGGGAAGCCTTTTAAAATTAAGTTAGAAGTAATTTGAAGTTTTGATGTGCTGCTGTTTCTTCTTGCTTTTAAGGCACAGGTTTAGAGTGACAAAACCATGAAAAATAAAACAAGCTCTGCATCTCTCGCCTTTGTTGGGTTTTGTTGTGTGGTTCTTTGGTTGGTTGGTTGGTTTGGGGTTTTTTTTGGTGGGGGGGGAGATGAGTAAATTGGGTATTTTATTGTTAGGTTTAAAATCAAATCTGCTGCTCTGACACATGCTAATCATTTCTTCCCCACTCCTCAAAAAAAAAAAAGAAAAAGGAAGGAGCCTTGTCACACATTGCAAGGCTTAAAGAACTGGGTCTATTAATTCCAAATAGAGCAATCCTCATATCTCTGTATGACTTTTGTATCTGTTTAGTTTTATCATTTGCTATATTGATAAATCCTGTCTATATAAAGAATGGCTCCCGTTAGTATAAAAGCTGGACTAAGATGGATACATTCCGATATTACTGGGCGTTTATGTTCAGTCTTTTAAAACCTTATATGGAAATTGTGTCCTGTTGAGAAACAGTGATATTTGAAGAGTCATTTTCTCCTTCTAGAGTAAACTTCCATATCCCCTTCCCCCCATTTTTTT